TTTAATTATGAGAAATTCTCATTTGTTTACTTGAATCGAAACTATTCGACCATTCATCTTCTAATAAATGAATTGGACAATTAATGTTTTTTTGTTAAATGTTTATTAGGTTCTGGATTGAATAAAAAAGCTCCACTTACTCGTTTCTTTGCTTTATGAAGACCACTAAAAGTTAACCGTATACAGACATATTTATTCAGTATTAATTAATTTAAAAAAAAGGAAAATTTTCAAAACAGTTAAATGCTAAATCTAATAAATTTAGACGGCTAGTTGAACGTCAATCTGAATCAATGTCTGAATTTCCAAGTAATGTTTGAATAAGTGAAGACTAAAATAAAAATTGTACACTATGAGAATCGCTTTAGCTAACTGATAAAGTACATAGATTTTCTTATTTCCATGATGATGAATACTATTCGATAATGTTGAAATCGATGATAATGAAGATATGTGTATGACCATCAATTGAACAAAGTATTCCAAACTGTTCAATTTCTTGAATTAGAAAAATTCTATTTAAATAAAAAATAGAGATTATGTCAGTGCAGCTCGTTGAGGACTATAACGTAGAACTCACATGTGTTCTTTAGTCTCATTATACTCCTCCCAAATACTTGAAGTGAAAAATTTCTACCAGATTATAAATGAATACATGAGAAATCAAATTTTATCTGTTTTTGTTTTTGAAGTTAATATGATTTTCATATTTTTTTCATCTTTGACTTTCTTTACTTTTTTCGGATGAGTTTCTTTCACCATTTCCTGTAAAGGGTGTGGGTATGGGTTTTTGTCTAGAGAAAACTACTTCACTGTTGAATCGTATCACATCTAAAAACTTCTTCAATATTTGTTTTCTTTTTATTTATACACCTAAAGTCACACAATATATAACTATATAACCTTTAGTGGCAGTTGAGATAACTGCTTTTCTCATAGTTCTCGATAGAGCTCGTTGAGTATGGGTCTGATCTCTCATAGTTACTACTTTTAAAGTAAAAGTCTATAATGATCGCATTCATAAATGATCACCATCAGAATGCCATGAGAAATGTGAAATAGATTCTAATGAAAATATGATGAGTCAGAATTCAGCAAACGTCTAAATTTTTGTGTCGCGTGTCTCTAAAACTTACACTTAGTCTATTTTTCTTCGAAAAGAAAGACGTAATGTGAGTTCCACAAAAAACAAAAACAATCAATAATTTTATCATCAATTGTTAATGATGATGGATTAATATCAAATAAACTTTGAATATTCCCCAATTGAATAAGTGGAATATATTTTCATAGCGAACGCTTTTCACATATATATTCAAGACAATCGGAGAAAAGAAAATGAGTTAAATGTAGTTGTATTGTTGTTAATTCTTGTTGAAGTTCAATAACTTGAAATTTTTCTATATAATCATGATGTGCAGCAAGAAACTCTGACTAAAATTTAACGGCAATAAAACGTACTTAATACTGTCGGAATCGTTTTCTTACTCGACAATTATCAATAATATGAACAATATTAAACATTGATAAATGTTTTTCCGTTTTTCTACTTTGTTCATTTAATTTTTTTGCTATTTCACGTAATTTACCCAATGAATCAATTAATAATTGATAATCAATATGGTTTATTGATGTATATTTAAGTAAACGTTGAATAAATTGTATCATTAAATACAGTAATATTGTTCACCTAATTCAATGTTATGTTCACGAATCTATTCGAAATAATTTTTATTTTTTACATTATCTATTCAATGAAATAAAATTACCTTAAGAAAACAAAATAAAAGTTATATGAAAAATAATATTAGAATTGATTACAAATAGTTCATTCGAAAATGAAAATAACGATCTGTATAGATGAGTTAATGTAATACAAGAAAATTCAACTAGTCCATCACTGTTACAATTAAAATCCAATAAGTGTCCGACTCCAATCGGATCACAAGAATTTTGACCTACGTCGCACGCTACTGTACAATATGAATGATTTGTTCAGTACGGGGCTGCCAGGTCTTCCGAATTTTGAATATTTTTTCGAGACCTTTTATTCCTCTAGATTCGAGATTTAATGACTTTGGTTATAACTTCTAATTTAACTTTCATTAGCAATTCTTGCGCTGTCGTTGTTCTACTGTAATCATGCCAAAATACAATTTTGAGACTATTTATAATGTAAGATCGTTTGAGTTTAGAATCTATCCGAACTCAATGAATACTTTGTATTGTTTAAAAAAAACGTCATTTGAATCAATAACTTCTTTGACATGGACTGAACTTTAAGTTTATAAAAGTGTTTTTTTTACATGATAATTGTCTCTTGTTATCCTGAATTAAATTCAGCCATGAATGATGAAGATGGTAATTCAGATATGAATTTAAGTGAGATTGAAGAAAGAAATAAGCATATCGGTAACAATTTTTGCACAAAATGCTGATAGAGCAACACATATGTCCATAAAAAAGGTGGTATATATATTTGATAGTGAAACAGCTGCTTTCCGAACTTTTTCCGAAGTAGAATATAAAAATTCCGAATTTTTTCGAATTTTGGTTAAAACATTTCGATTTCTAACTTTTCGATCTGGCAACCCTGATTTAGTACGAGAAGAATTTCATTATAGTCTACGAAAACTGAAATACATCAAAAACATTAAATCTCGTTAGGCTCGACAATTTTTTTCTAATGGTTTTATTCGACTGATAAACAAGCAGAAAAAAATTTATGCATTCTTTTTGAAAACTATTGTTTAATTGCTGAGAAGCGAGTTCGTATTCAGACTTTGCTATCGTATCAAACAATCAAATAATGTTTATAGAAAAAGTATACATAGTTTTTTTCTTAAGTATATGACCAGTAAAAATCTTGGAAAAATATCGAGTCTGTTGGTACTTAATCATTTTATGATGTTTTTTTTTTGCAAATATAGTTTTTGCGATAATAACATTGGTCGAGTCTGTTAACAACAGAATACTTTCACAAGTAACTCAACATACTCTATAATTTTTTTTTAACTACTAAAATATATTTCATTGAATAATTATCTTACTTGAATAATATTTAATAACATTGTAAAATTAATATTAATTTTCATTCGATTTCTCTTATATTCCATTCCAATTAAATACTAATTATATATGTTAATATTTTGTTCTTTATAACAATATTGTCATCTAATACGTACTCATTTTTATTAATATTAAAATGTTTCAGAATTTGGTATAGTATTAATTCATATTTTCGTTTTAATAGTTGTATTGACTAATAAATCAAGTAATGGACTATTAATCATATGTTGATGATGAAAATAATAATAATGAAGAAATCTGACGATGTTGTTGTTTAATTATTAGTTAAATTAATTGTATACATGGATTTATCAACATTATTCATTAAACATAAAATTCTCCAAATCACTAAAAATATTATTATATATACATTTTTTAATCTTTTCCCTTTATTGATTAATACATACTTGTACATGAATACCGAATTGTTGATCTTGATGTGTATAGAATAGATATGTCGATATAAATAAATTTTTATTCAAAAGATGAATATATCTTGTTTCATTCTTTTCTGTTGTAATAAATCCACATAACAAAGAAAGATTTTTTCAAACTTCTGTAATGGATTATTTTGATCTAAAATTTTGTTCATATTTAGATATGTTCATCCAAAAAGAATATTATTGTAAAAATTTAAGTGTTTAAAAACTTCCATTGTTTTGTTTTTTTCGACAGTCTATGAAATTGAATCAACTTTTTTAACATTAAGTGTGTCTATACTTAAGTAATAGTTCGTCTGATGTAATATATTTTGTATTTTATCATAACAAATAAAATAATTATACATAAATGTTGTTATTGAGTATCATTAATAAAAATAAACAAAACAATTTCATTTTCATTCCAAATGAGATACAATCTAAAAAAATTCATAAATAAATCATTATATATGTATGTTAATGTTAACAAGAGAGAATGGAAAGAAAAAAGAATTATATGTGAAGAGAGGAATTTTCTTTTTTTTTTTTTGTCTTTCTCTCGTCCATAAATCATTGTTCATGTTGTTATCATTGACGATCAATGATCAACATGTACAATTAAATATGTATATCATTTTCGGCGAGAGAAAAAAATGATTATTCAAGGTATATATATGAATGATTTTCTATGCAAAATCATTCAAATTTTTGAATCAAATAATAATAATTTTTCTTTTTCTGTTTTAGATTGGCCTCAATGATACAAAATTAATCAAATCAAGATCAAGCCATACAATAAAAAAAAATGTAGGCATCAGTTTTAATTTTGTTTCTTTTTTTTTTTTTATTTAACGATTATAAGGATGGTGAAGTAAGACCTCCTATAATCTTTTTAATTTATTTTTTTTTCTTTTGTCTTAGGTTCGATGAATATTTTCAACTATGACAAGATAACAGTGGGGTAAGTTAACTCATTCTTTTTTTTTCATTATATAACATTAAATTATTTTTTTTTCTTTTTCTTTCTAGTTCTCAATATCATCGCGTCGTAACCAACATCGTTCAACATCAAAACAGGGTGAGTAATATTTTTTTTTAGATGAGAATAGGAGAGAGGGGGATGAGGTTAGATAGTATAGTATTGAGATTGAGGAGAGGGATAGAGTGACTGATAAAAGAGTGTTAGTAGGGGGAAGGGGTGAGTTATGTCCATTGAGATTAGGTCCCCGTTAGTTACAGGCCTTGCTGGTAGGCCCTAAAAATTCGGCCAGGAACTGTCTTGGTGTCCGTGGCACACGAGCAGGCTTATTCGGACTCATTGACATATCTCTCGCGGGGAGTGTATGAATGATATGAGTCTGTCCTGTGCGTGCATGAGCGTTATGCTCGCCACGGCTCCACCAGGATGGTTCCTGGTCGCGCGCGCGTGCGAATAGAATAGACATTCATTTCATTAATTCAACGCGATTTATTTGCGAGAAAGTAAAGAAAAAAAAATCTATCACGACGAGTCTATTCGATTGAAAAGCGTTGAACACGATGATTATTCTTATCGACGACATAGAGATTACCATGTTGATCGACGGACAAACCCCAGGGACCGTTGAACTGATTTGCTCCTTCTCCGTAACCATTTCCACCCACAATAACAGTGCCCTGTTTCGCTCCTTTAGGCCAACGCATCACTCGATTATTCTCCGAGTCTGCCGCATAGATGGCACCCAATGTATCGACGAACAGTCCACTAGGATGCGACAATTGTGTCAGAGCATTCCCTTGGCCTTGACCTCCAGCGACGGCAATTCCTTCTTTTGCACCTTTATTCCATTTCATTACACGATGATTTCCGTAGTCTGACACGTAGACAGTCTGTTGTTGATCGACAAAGACGAAGGTCGGAAAGTTGAGCTGATTGAGATCAGCACCTTTGCCATTGCCACCAGCCACAATAGTTCCATTCTTGTCTCCTATTTGATATCGTCTTACTTCATGTTTTTCGACTTCAGAGATGTAGAGATATCTCTGATCATCCATGGCCAATCCAAAACAAAGGATGTTGTCGATGAGGATTTCTCCTTGAGTTGTACCACTACGACGAGACCATCGTACGTCTCGTCGATTCTCTCGATCAGAAATAATGAGACTATCCGTCTCTTTGTCAATCAATACATCGGTTGGCCAATTCAATTGACCCAATCGATTTCCGTAGCCATTGCCACCAGCTACTACTTGTCCATTTCTATCGCCCATCTTCCATTGGATAATACGATGATTGTCGCAGTCAGCGATGACTATCGTTTGATCATCGTTAACGAAGAGACCAAGAGGATAGTTGAGTTGATTGGTGTCACTGCCTTTTCCACGACCTCCAGCAACAGTCACTCCCTTCTGTTTCCATCGGGCATCGGCTGGAATATTGGGAATTACTACAATGAACGAAAAAGAAAAGAAATCGTCGTTGTTGAAGAGATTCCATCTCTCGTGGGAGCAGGCACTACAAATACTACATGCGTCTTTGAGAATGCTCGTTCCGCAGATAAAAATTCAGAAGTATTTTCCTAGTTTCTTATGAGAAAAGAAGGATTTGGTAACGATTCTTACATCTATGTTACTTCTAGTTCTTGCTAAGATCTTTTTGATCATAAAAATAACACCTTGAGATTATTGTAAAGAGGTTCTCAAAGAAAGAGTAATATTAATTCCATGCAAGTTTTTGATAGAGAAACATAAGGATCTGAGGATTTTTTTCAGAATTGCAAAAATTCAGAATCTTTTTGGCAGAATGATCATTTATATGAACATCAGAGAAGATTCTATCTGCATCTTTTGAGTAGAATATCGAATCGTTGAACAAAAAAATATCAAACCTAATCCCTATGTTTTTTAGGAAACCTTAAGGGAACGTTTCAAAATGTTTGCCGGTCGGCCGGCCGCTCTGCCGTT